CATCATCTGCTGACATGTCTTGAAAATTTTAAATTGGGTTGTATATCTTTAAATCTTCAAAGAGAAACACTGGGGCTTTTATTGTCTGTAATGACAATTTGATCAGTGATGACATGTAGAGTAGGCACCCCATAAGTAACCACCTTGTGAACCGTGAGCATCGATGTGGTGTAAGTGATCTGTATGAGGGCTTTGCATGCCTGGCGTCATCATCAGTGTATCATTCAGTGCATACTCTATGGCTAAGCAATAAAAGCCCAGAAATCAATACTTCTTCCTACCTTTGCTAACAGAATTCAGAAAAACATGTTTAGCCCTAAAGTCTTCTTGGTGATATGTTGTATTTCCTTGTGATAACATGCGAAAATGTAATTAGTGTCTCATATCTACATCTTCTAGGGAACCAGTCCTGTACATTAGTCAGTAGTCACATGACTATTAAGCACCAAGAAAAGATAGCATACATGAGGAATTAAGTTTGAAGTTTTTAGGTCATGTTCGGCCTGATTCTCTTCTCAGAGATTTTGTGTCCAAAGGCTTTTATTAACTCATAGTTGTGTTGTTCAAGGTTACTGAAATGTATTTTTTGAAAAGCTCCATGTTCTGGTAGTTAAATACTACCTTTTCTCACCTTAGCTCAATGAGAATGCTGCAAGCTGCTTCTCCCTTTCTCATAGCCCTGACCAAAAAATCCCTTTTCTAAGAAGATGAAATACAATGTGATATGTGAAAGAATACGATTTAATTTCTAATGAAAGCATGTGATTAAGTTCTGTCTACTAATGTGAAAGGAAATTGACATGAAAGAAATACAATTGTCCGGGGTAAAAAAAATCATTATCTCAACCAAAGTGACACTTACTGTCATTGGATGCAATCTCTCATCAAAAATATCAAGGGATCTATTTGCCTCTCTGTAAAAGAGAAAGTACATGTAAGTGCAATCACAAACAGCTTATTGAAATACCTCATAGGGGTAGAGGAGGAGGGGGAAAAGGGCATACCATTCGGTACACGAGAGTGCCCAACTCTTCTCATGGAATTTGAGCTTAGGACTTCTTTTACTTTAGTGCATCAAGTAATGTGAAGGTTTGACTAACATAATCAGCTACAGATGCCTCTAAAGAATGATTTTCCTCTATAGTCATTCTCGTAAGACAACAGTGATGGGGAATAAAGTTTTGAAATGTATCATTGTGAATGTGAAAAAGATTTCCAGGTTTTTCCTTGTTAATCATGTAAAGGAAGTTTAAAAACTTAGCTGCCCTTATAGAAGGAACCAGTATTTTCATAGAAGTACAGTGTGCTGTCTTAAAAGGTGTTTTGCTGTGGTCTTTGGACCTCTACAGATTTCCCTGTCTCTTTTTCAGGAGGTTCATGATTTCAGAGTGTTCTTGCAAATGGATGAAGACACTTTTTGATTTTTCACTTGTGGACACTTGTAATGCTGGTCTAAAATTGAGGTAAGACTAATCTCTGCACATGACTCAACCCTATGGTACAAAATTACATCAGCAGTCAGTATGTTTCACTGTCACTTGCAGTTTTGCCTGAAAGCCAGTTTTTTGAAGACTGTGCTTGATGAAACAGGAAAGACTAGTAGTGTTAATAAGTCTTAGACCTTGTTTCAAATAGTCTAGATAGGTGAAAAATTCACGTAAATCTTTTCTGCATACTGAAGTGTATTTGTGCTCAGAAAAGTCATTTGTGATTTAGTTTTGAGCTGCACACGCTGCTTGACATGGGACACCCTTTCTCCATGAAACTACACGTATCAAAATTGGAAAAAAAATAGGCCTACATGAAAAATGAAGATATATGTCTTGCCAATGTTAAAAGTAATGATACTAAAAATCAAATTTCTGGAAAATATGTACCTTCTCTTGTGCATGTGACAGCTTCTCAAAACCTGGAAGACTTTTTGCTAAGAAGAGTGATGATAATAATACAGGTTTTTTAGATGTCAGAAACAAATCTGACTCAGGTGTGTCCAAGCTGAACCATGTATATTATAAATCATGTAATTTAAAAATATTTTTCGTTTTGCAAATGGACCAATAAAAATGAATGTAATAATATGAAAGTTACCATTTAAAATCTCATTGAACCTAATTTAAGAAATTAAGGGTTGCAGTGTTTATTAAAAGACTATTCACAGGTATCTGAAAATTTTTAAAGTGCATGTATCCACATATATATGTCTCTGAGAATATGTTGCTTTACTATTTTTTCAAACGTCATTGCACATGAGCCAGTATATAAGAGAATCTAATTTTGTTCTTTTCAGTCATGAGGGGTGCATTATGATCAAATAGACATTTTTTTCACATAATTCAAAGTAGGAACTGAAACGTAACATTGTTATAAAACCTAGTTATATCTTGTTATTTCTATTAGCAAGGTGGTTCTTGACAGGA